CAATGACGACAACAACAACAACAACGACAGCGACAACAACAGCAAGATGTTGCATCTTCAACCTGGAAAAAACTTCAAAGCCTGATGGCGACTAATAGTGACTAATAGCGCTATTGGGGAGCCTTGACACCCTTCCCAGGGCTCCAAAGCTATATAGGATTATAGTCATCCTTAAGTAGATAGAATTAGATCTTTGAGGGGGTTTTTATTTTTTTGAAAATCGGGATGTTGCAGAACCATAGATAGAATATGCTAGGGACCAGTAAGCAACCCGAGTAATCTCCGCCAGGACGACGTGGAAAACACTCTAAAGCCCGCTCAAGAAACCCTCTACCTCTGTCAGCTCCGTATCAAACGGTGCGAAGCCTTTAGAATCCCTCTACAAGCCCTCGAGAAAGTCTTGAACCGTGGAAAACTCACCATAAAACCTATGAACCTTCTGCAAGCCTTCAAATGCTTGCAAAAGCGTCTATAAACTCCCAATACAAACTGCCGGGATCTGTTTGTGGGATCCTTTCTGGGCTCCATACAATTCTTCCCTAAATATTCTATCTATCCGTCTGGTACCTCTCTAGTCCCCCGAGGAGACTTTAGAAACCCTCTTCGAACCCTCGACAGACCCTCCAGAAAACCGTTTAAACTCCAATATACCTTCTGAAAAAAGCTATGAACCAATTGTAACACTTCTACACAATTCTAGAACAACATCTATAAACCCTCTAGCAACCCTCTACATCTGTAAATCCTGTATAAAATTGCGCAAACTTTTAGAACCCTTTACGTAGAAGACCCGCAGAAACCTCTTGAAGCCTGTACAAGCCTGCTAAATTCCTACGAACCTATGTAATCCTTCAAAACCGCTGTATAACCCCTTTAAAACCCTGCCCTAAACTACAATCCGCCTCCTTTCCGGGCTCCATACAATAATTCTGCCCTAAATATTCTATCTATCCGTTTGGTACCTCTATAAGACCCACATGAAACGCTATACAACTTCCAAATATTCCATCTATCCGTTCGGTACCTCTCTAGTCCCCAATGAGACTTTAGAAACCCTCTTCGAACCCTCGACAGACCCTCCAGAAAACCCTGTAACCCTGTATATAACTTCTATACGAGCTATGCTTCCGTGGCAAAACTTCTTCATAACGCCCCTAGAAACTGTAGAACCCCATCACAAAACGTCTTGACCCTCTACAAAACCCCTTAAACAGCGCAAAAGCCTTACAGAAACCCTCGCATAGCCCTGATAAACCCTCAAAAACCTGCCCCCAAATGCAAACAGCCAGGAAGAGGTCTGAGGGCTCCATTTTCAGGGCAATAAAATTCCACCCAAATATTCTATCTATCCGTTTGTGAAAACACTTTTTTCTTTCGAAAAACGGCAGATTCTATCTACTTTAGGATGACTATATATAGGGGAGTATGATATGGAGTATCAAGGGGGATACTATAGGAGTTTAGACAATGGCTTAGGTGTAAATGCGAATCATCTCCACTGCTAAATCTCTCACTTGGGCTGATCTGATTGTCGTGCCGAATCCACCACCATTGAAACTTACAGACCAGAGTTCACCTTGCGAGGAGATGTGGGGACTAGGCAGCCGGCGAACTCGGCATACTGAGATGTGCTTGGCAAAGGCAGACAGACCTAAAATCCAGAAGCCATCAGCTAAACACGCGCAAATCTGTGTGGCACCTAGTGTGAACAGCTCATGTTCAGAGTTCAGATTCCGATTCGTGTTGAACCAGCCTACTCCTTGCCCGAATGGCAACAGTCTCTGAGGTATATGTCGGAAGGGAGATAGCTTCGAAGCTGGAAACCGGATCGGCGGTTGCCTTCAATGCAATATTGAATCGCGAAGGTAAGCCCAACGCCGCACAACTGCAACATGGACGGTGTGATTTTGGTGAGAAGATGCCAGAAGGTTTTGCTGACAGCCTGATGGTTGGGTCTCTTTCGCTTCTCAGGGCAGAGGGCAGAGCAGAAGGGCTTACAATTCCCAGAGCATGAAATACGCAAATCTGCATGAGCTCCAGTGCACTCCTGAATAGAGACTGCGCATTGCAAGGTGCTTGATGCCGAGCCTTGTGACGACTTGTGGGAACCTACTCCTGGCGACCTTTCGCAGGCAGTCGTCGTGGAACGAGCTCGAGACGCTAAGCCTCATAATCGTCGCTTAGATTAGCTTCAGTCGCGAACTCTTGGCGAGACAGAAGCTTCGTGATGTCCCAAGAGGCCCAATCATGTCTGATGCTCTTAGATGCCCAAGCGCGTCGAACTGGCAACTGCATAATCTGAGGAAGGGCTGAAGCCTGTCAGCCACCTGCCTGAACATTTGCAGCCATCAGTTGTCAATGGTAATTACAGCTCTGTCTGGCATTCTCACGCATTCTCAGGATTGTAAGTGATATGTCCATGATTTTCTATGCCATTTGCGCAAGCCAGCGTTGCAAGGCACGGGTGAAGTTTGTACTGGATACATCAAGTCCTTCAACCCTGGCAACAACTATGGTTTCATAGCCAGCGAGCAGGTGAAAGCCTCGAATCTCGGACAGGTTTGCTTCGCTATGAAATATTAGTACTGTGGCCAGCTGAGTAGGAGATAGTAGGACAGCACCCAGTACCGCCTGCATTCAAGGTACGGTTGTGACGTCTTCATGCACGGCAGGGAGTTCACGCCCAACAATTTCAGGGTTGGAGACGCAGTCGTTTTTGAGGCGGCCCAAGTGATCCAGAAGTTTTTCACATCTGCATACTACTCAAACGACTCAGTGACTGTGTGCCAGCTGCCTTGCAAGATGGAACTTGGCCGCCATGTCATCCATCTTTGCTGGAAGGTTGGTTTGAACCCAGCCGGAAAGCCACAGGCTGTCAACGTGCCCTGGCGGGATGTCATGTGACATCTGAATCCACATGATCGCCAGCACAGATGAGGTTCAGCCATTTTCCAAACAGAGCCAAAACGAGCTTGCACTCATTCAGGCGCGGGGCTAAGTCGCAGTTTGAGCGCAGCACCTTCAGCGTTTCAGTTTTCATGGAAGCTTGTGGGCCTTGTAGACTTTTTGCAGGCACTCAGGTTTGAACTGCCCTTCAAGCCCTCGACGCTTATGAGACCTTCACAACCCAAACTGTAGTGCTTTTTCCTGGCCATGTAACTTGGCGCTCGCCCACATTTATTATAGGGGCTCCTTTCCTCAGCCGTAAAACACCACGAAAGTATTCAACATGAGCTAAGGAATAGGTTTTCTTTTTACAGTCGTAGAAGAGAGAAGGAAGCTGCGGGACTGCAGCCATGGAATAATGATGTCGCTCAGAGCTCCCAAAAGATTTTGAAGGGTTCTGTATTGGTGATGTCGGACCAGCAACCATCGCAAATCCCTCTCCTAGCCTGCGGCCGGGTTCAGAGATTGCTTTTCTAAGAGGCCTAGCAAGGCCAACCCTTTTCAGGAGCCACAGGGTGGGGTTTGCTGCTACTCTCTTGCAAATTTTCCCCGACCTGCCCGTGGGTGGAAATGATCCAAACACTGCGTTCACAATTAATTTATGCAATTCCATGCGTAGTCATGTGACATGAAATTCTTGCGATCCTACTAGTAAAGCGATGCCGGCCGAGTTTTGATCTTCGGGATTCTTCGGGGGTTTTGCGCACGGAGTGTCGTGATGAAGTCTGCGCAGCTACTCCTGAGGGGACGTAGCTTGCCTGGCTTGCCTGTGGAGCTAAGGCAGATGGCGTGGCTGGACCGTTGCCTATAATGATGTAAGCAGCCCGCTGTTCCTTTCACCTGTTCCAGAATGCATATATAGACTTAGAGGGCAAGTGCTCGACGCCATGATTTGCGTGCCAGAAGCAAAAAGCTGAATCGCTTGCGTCTCCTGTGAAGTCTGCCAGATCGTGTTGCTTCCAGAATCTTCCAAAACGGGCTGGCAATATGTGTTGAGGCCTACAGTCTGGGCACAATTCCCTGAGGTGGACATTCAAGAAAGGCATGTTCGACAGACAACGCTTGGTGCCAAGATGGAATGAAGTTCATTGCCGGTGAATTGTCACTTAGTCGTTGACGCGGAACTCACTCCCGTCAGTGGCTGTTCAAGCAGAAGCTGCTCAGGGAGTGGCTAGTTGCAAAGAACCAAGAGATCGAGGCTGCTGCGCGGAGCCTAGGCGCCCGGCGCAGCACACGCTAACTGTGCTGCAGCATGCGAATGCCAGGAATCTGGATTGAAGCTTACCTCGCTCCTTTACCTTAGAATCCGCAAGCAATCTGGCCTTCAAAGATTCAAGCTCAAGCACTGAAGGCCCCCAAGAAAGTGCATTGTTTGTAGACTTGCCGCCTAGCCTGGAAAGCTTGAGCCTTGCGTTTGTCTTTGCATGCCTACTGCCTTAGCCTAGAGTAATGAACGTTAAGAGCTTGAAGCCTGAACAGTTGCATCTTTGCAGGACAGAGTTGAATTTCTGAAGCTTCACGAGTCCAGTAAGTGGCGCTGAATGGATAGCACGGAAAAACTCAGCCGTTGACATTTTGTAACACCCATCCAATCCCAGTAAACCTTCATTTGGACGGCAACAGATTTGACTTCTGCAGTCAGTGGCAGACTCACCATCAAAATCCTCTACGTTACACAAGGGCGCTCTGTTTTTGACAAACACTATAATGTGGGTGGCTGGCATTTCTCTACCTGCGCAATCATGCGCAATCCCTGGCTCGCTTGAACTGTCAAGCTCAAAAAATAGAGCCTTCAAAGTCTTACATGTTGACAACTCGCAGACTTGCAATTGCTGCCGACCTTGTGCTCGGAAACCTGGAAATTGCTTCAACCTTTCAAGCACTTTCCACCCTTCTAGACTGACAGCTCGAACATAGGTTCAGCAAGCTGCAGGAAGCTGCAAACATTTATTCCCTAGGGCCATCTAGGGCCAAGATTATTCTTGTAGCGCTCGCAACTAAGGTCAATGACATGCTGGGCTCGATCGTTGCGCAGTAGACTTACGGAGAAGCCAGCTTGCTAGATATGGCACGCTCAAGCCACCAGAGTGGCGAGAGTTCAGCAGGACAACCAGCATTCAGCATATATGTACTTTCAACTGAGATTCTAAGGTTTCCTCTGGCTCCGCACGTGCGTGGAATCTCAGAGAGCGAGATCATCAAGGCTACGGAATGGCCCTGCATCTGTTTGCTGCAGCAACATCGCGACTTCAGGTGAAGGCTCACTACAATTGGAGCATGTATCAGTCGCTGCTTGCAGCCACAAAGCGGTCTCTGCACAAGGCGCCCTGGCATCGTCAAGATGTTCTCATCTAGTCCCTTCCCCCGGAAAATGAGCATCTTCCCCCTCCCCTAATGTAGAAAAAGTTAAACAAGCACCGGAGTATTTCTTCTTTTGGGGAGGTTTGCATTGCAAAGAATTATAGGGGATGCCGTTTATCCCAGTTAAAATCACTTTAAGATCGTACTTAGGTCTCAGTTAAAATTCAACAAAATCTAAGCAACAAACAGTCGGAATCTCATCACAATCTAACCAGAATCCCAAAAACGATTAGCATCTAATCAAAATCTAGCCAGAACATCTTCAGTCCGATAAAAATCTAATTAAAATCGTTTCACATCGTGAATAAAATCAATGAAATTGAATTGATTTTCAAAATCTAGTTTACAACGAGTGAACATCGTAATAGGGAAAAAGAAGCTGGAATTCAGAGCTTCCTGAGTTTCATACTTTTCGCAGTTGTGGTTTTATGAACGCAAAAGATTGAAGTATCCTGCAAAGTTTACTTAGAATTAGGGATCTCCCTCGCCTGCCTAATGAGAAGGTGAGAAAAGGCCTCGTGGCCTCCATCCAAGAATCCCAGCTGGAACTGGGATCCACAATTTCCGAACTTGAAAATGATTGCTTTCATTGACAAGAGGCTTCTACATAGCCCTTCAATCAATGTCCCCTAGTCATGCACGCAACTTTTTGGATCAGTGACTATTCATCATTCGTTCATTGATAGGCACAGCGACGGGAGGGATGCGTTTTAGTTTCAGGGGAAATCAATACGTAGAGGATGGCCAGGCGTCATGTGCTGGCCAAGGTTCGGCCAAAACAACCTTTTTTTTCCGGCCGAACCTCAAAAATTGGGAGTGCAGACATGGCTGAGGTGCTTAAGTTGTTCTTGTGCAGAAGCCATGAATCCGACGCCTGTTCCGAGTTTTTGCTTCGGGGCAGTACCATCAGCATGTGCTCTGTAGTTTGCCTGATTAAATACTCAGAATGCAACATTCTCAGCTAGATTGTGATCAGAGGTCGGGTTAATCCCAATCCTTCACAATGCATACCCAGAAAAAGCTCAAAATCACGCCAGAGCCGCATTTTTTCGAGAGTAGTGTTTAAGATTCTGTCAGATTTGTGATACCGTTTCAGTATGTTTCAGTTTAGATATACGTAGTTCCTATATGGGGACTTTCAAGGTAGCAGGTGCAGCTTACATAATTGTGTAACGTCCGCTTTTCATTCATGGCCCCCCCCCATATTTGCAGAGCCCAATTTGCAGAACTTCAGATCTCTGCCCCGAAAGTTTTTTTAAGAGCAAACGTACGCGCACGTTCTGCGTTTGCTTCCAAAGTTTGAAAAGCTTCAGAATCCAAAATCAACTCACCGTGAACAGAGGGCCTGCTGCTTAAGTATGCTCAAGTACACTGGCCTTGCAAGTCCAGCAGTGTGAGGGCCTTTGGCTTTTTTCTTTGACCCGTAGCCCTAAACCTAGACCCAAGTTAAACCTGAGTGACAAGGTTGCTGAAGCCAATAGCCGAAGACCAAACAAGCTGGCACAGAAAAGGTGCAAATGAGATGTAAAGAAGCCCTAAACCCTTTAGAGCTGGCAAGTGAGTTGTCTGCTTGGGTAGTTGGAATCATCAAGGACTTGGGGTACCGGATTTGCAAGCAATTGAATTTGGAAAGCATGAACTAGTAATTCCTGTTCCGTTGAGCAACAGGCAGCAGGCTAAGTGAAGCCGCACGAGTGTCTAGCTGAGCACGTGCTGTTGGTGTAGTCTCGGTGCAGTCGCTCCTGGTAATGTGGCCCAATCTTTCTAGACATGTTTACCTAGCTTTATTTTTTCTCCCTGAAGAAAGAGGACTGCCTGGCTAGGAATGCCTCTTGTCTGGAGAGGGTGTTTGTTGTGAGGAGGTTTGGCTTTGAGGCCATGGGGTTGGTTCCAAGCCGGAGGTTGTACGTATAGAGAACGTATAGAGGTGTTAGCTTCATCCTGGAAACCAGATGGTGCTTGCTGTGCGAGGCGCGTGCCTAAACCACAAATTCGCTTCTAAACGTGGTCTGAGACCACGAGGGCATTTTGAGGCTAGTTGGATGTGGGACTTTCAGGAGTATCTAATGTATGTGCCCAAACAGAGCTCCACGTGCGCGTCGTTCGTGTCGCCACCAAACATTGGCCGACCCTTTTTTTGTTTCAAGGCTTGCCCCTCGTCCTCATTTTGGCATATTTTGTCCGAATTGCTGTGGACTTCGGCTGGAGTCGCGGGCAAAAGGGTCACTTCCACCTGTTTCACAGTGAGTTTTGCACCATCACTTTATGGTGCAAACGCATTCCGCCTCCCTCCGAGTTTGTTCAAAGTCTCCCGACGTCCCCGCGTAAAAAAGGCACGGGGTTGCCGCTGAGAGTTCGCTCCAAGTTCCCTCCGATGCGGCAGCGTAAGGCATGCGTTCATCACCAGAAAATGCATCGCACAGGTGAAGGAGCGTCTGTCTGCTCGTCCGTTGGCAGATGGCTCCACCCCGCCAAGCACTGAGCATCTGTTCCTGACGCAACTCAGGCCACTTGCTATCCCAGGCCAGCGTTCTTTGAGGTGGAGCTGCAGCTGGATGGTCTGGGCGCCATTGCCTGAGGTTGAAACCGGAGTCACATGTTCACCATGACAGACTAATATCAAATTGCTACGAGGGGCACATGCAGAGTTAAGACTTTCCAAGGTGTGCCTGCAGCCATCGATTGAGGACATCCAAAGTGCCATTAATGGTGGCGCTGTAGTCGGGTGCACAGCAAATTCATGAATGCAGTCCAGTGGCATTGACCTGCTGTCTGCGTTGCGCTGTGTCTAGTCCAGCCCTGGCAGCCAGCAGATTGCCAAGCCCCAGGCAGTATTGAAGTGCTCCAAGATGATCGAGGCATACACCATGAGCTACATGTGACTTCCATGCGAATCAATGAAGACATGGGAAGTCATGAGGCCACTCGAATATGCAGATAATGCAGATGTTTGTGGTTGTCAGGCCTGGGATACCGTGACAATCCCCAGGAACGTATTTAGCCCAGGATTCGCTGTTGCTGTGCGCAGGGTTGCCCAATCATCTTCTTTTTTCAGCACTTGATAATTTCTTCCCACATGCTATTCACAACGGGCGGTTGGACTCTGTCGTAACAGTTCATAACACACCAATTGAGCAAAAGTTTTTTCGCGATGCAAGAGCTACGACGGAAATGAAGCTGGAGTAATGCTTGTGTAGTCTCTGGCTGGCAACAGCGACAAAAGGTGCTGCGCAGAATGCTGCGCAAGCCAGATCCGCCTCGTAGTCCGCGCAGTAAAGCAGTTGAATAGCATGAGTGAGCCCACGTCCTACATCACGGGAATCAGTGATTCCTCGTAGTCTGCGTAGGCTTTCCTTTTTCATATGAGTAGTATCTTTCGGGGGATGCGGGTATAGTTTTTTTTGTATAAGGAATATCGTCTTAAATAACTAACCAAATGCTACTCGGATGAGAGAACTAGCAAAGAAAACAATGCTCAGTGACAGCATTGGAGATACAAGATATTCGCAGTTGTCACCTTTAGGATCTGAGGTCGGGGGCGAATATCTGTGGTTGAATGGACAGGTATGTTGGACATGGACTGCATGAACGAAAGATTCTCTGCGTTGCCCCTTCTATAGGGACAGCCCTGGCGCAGATCTGCGCCATCTCTTACTTAGGAGTAGCAACATCGCGGACTATACTTTGCACAGCACACCAGTTTCTGGCATTCTGGCAGTAAGCGGCTAATAATCAAGAAGCTGGCTGAACACATTTTGAAACGGGCCCCAGAACATTCCGGCATAGGCATCAACAAATAGTTTGATGAGGCATCAAGAAAAAATTGCCAAGCCTCAACACAAAGGATGCCAGAGTGGAAAGCCCTGCCATTATCCCCAGAAGCCTAAGGCGTGCTTCAACTTCACGCCACGGCCACCCTTCTAACACGAATCCAGCCGATTCCATGCCGAGCACATTCAAGCATGGCTGGGTTCCGCCTCTAGGACATCAAAGAAGGCTCGTCAGTGGCGCACACCCTCCGCCAGATATTCCATGGCTATTGAGTGCTGACATTGGCCATGAAAGCAAACAAGACATTCTGCATGAAGCTCACTGAGCCATGCGAAGCAAGGTGCAGTTGTTGCTGAACCCGAATTTGCCGCCCGTCCGTGGCACAGGGCCAGCAGCTTTCCCCGTCAAGCAGAAGTGTTTTTTTCTCTTGGTCTTCCCGTTCTTCTCAGGTCCCAAGGAACCTTCTATGACCGCGTCGCTCAGGACAAGGAGATCCTGAAGGACTGCTGCATTGATCTCTGGAGCCAAGATCTCCGCTCAGCATTCCTGTAGGTCGTGCTCCTCCTTACTGGCAGCATACAAACTGTGCGGGCCTCATGCGCGTTAGCTACAGGCTGCTGTCCAGTGCTTGGCCCTCAAGGCCCGGAATGGGAAAAATGAGTACCTGAAACAGTTTGAACGTTGGAGCTGGCTGTGGAACTGCGACATCGATGAGGAGTGAGCCGATCAGTTCTCGGGATGTATTCTCTGAAGGAATACACCTGAAGCTCTTGATTATGGTTTGATTGTTCCTGCGTACACCATTTCCCAAGATCCCCTTCAAACACGGTGGTGCTTGGAGACGTATCCTGCAAAATCAGTTCCAAGATTGGCCGAGGAGTGTTGTATGCTCGTCTGCTGCGCTGCTAGTGACTGCAGGTGCGTTCCGTGTTCAGGTATCAAAAATTTCGCGCTGCAGAGCCGACTCTGGATGAGTTCGAGGAAAATCCTGCTCGAAAGACATGAATGTAGTGTGCAAATCCTGGTTGGATGTGCTCATGGCATGTACGGACGTGCTTTGGTGCTGTATGTGGGAGCGCGAAATCGTGTGTCTCGCCAGGCAAAACTTCGCTCTTTTGCTCGTTGTTGCCTCGGCTGTCTGTTTGCCTCGGTTCCCTGACAGCCTGCACGTTTCATTGCAAAATGCTTGAGCAACAAGATGTTCGTATCTGTGCCGGCTTGAGAAAGTATACCTTTGGAAGGTCTCGATGATGAGTTTCAGCTCATGGAGCCTCGGAGGCAGATCTCTGCTGCGGCCTCAGTGTTTGAAGGCAAGGGCACGATTCCCCAGATGGTTCGTGTTGTCCCAGGCATTGTCGCTCCAAGCAGGCAGCCTGGCCCGGAGCTTGCGAGAGCTGGCTGGACGCTGGAAGGAGCTCCCAACTTCAGAGATTTTCAGAGTATCTCCGGAGATCTCTGGAGTTTTGCAGGGTGCGCGCTTCTTGTTTAGGCCCCGGCACTGTTCCAACTGGGGTGACTTCAGGAGTCATTCGCGCGCGAGCTGCACACCCAGGCACTTCGTATATATACTAGCAGAGCGAGCCTTGGTAGGCCGACTGGCATTGTAGCGCTTGGGGTTGGTGAGTGCGGACTACAGTGCATGTTTCTATGAGTCCGAACCACACGACGGGCCGGGCTTCATGCTCGGTGCGCAAGCAGACTGCCCCTAGCGCAAAGCAAAGCGCAAAGATTGCGTCGCACACCACGGTGTGACTTGCATGCTTCTGCTGGATGGTCAGCTGCAACGATGCTTGGAGACCTCAATTCACTAACACACCTTCGGGCTCGAGCTGGTGGCTACGGCCGCGTCGGTGGAAAGCCCCGCGTAAACCCTGAACCCTAAACTAGTTCGCCATTTTGGCTCAAGAACTGTGGCTCAAGGTGTGCCCCGCGTGCGCCCCGTAGCTGGGGGTCGCCTCGTCTCGGGCCTGGCAATAGTTTGGAAGAGGAGCTTGGGAATCTTCGGGCCCGTGCTTTGTGTCATCCACTTCCGCTTTCGGGACACCAACATCTACCCGAGTGCTCCCATACGGCGCCGCAGCTTTGCACATGCTTCTTTAGGCTTCCGGGTGCCCCTGGTCCTCACAATTCACTATAGGTCCTCTAGTAACGTGGCGAGGGCTAGAATGAGGTTGGCCTTGCACTGAATTTGTCTTGCCCGACATGGCCTCGCCTCGGAAACATGGTGGAGACAAAGTAGATGTTAGTGATGATGAGACGATTGCGGACAAGTCCAAGAAACCCAACACGGGTCACCTTAGATGTGGGGACCCTGTGGGTGCTGCATCAGGGACAGTCTTCTAGTCTAGCACATGAGGGCCGTTGGAACAGAGTGTCAAACAGATGGAAGCAAAACAAATTGAGATGTTTGGTACGTTGCATAGGCTACTGGACAGCACCAACGGCAAGGTCGAAGCCCTGGAAGCTTCCTTACAGGTCCTACAAAAGCGGTTGGACAAACTTGAGAAGGAGACATCGGTGGCTGCTGCAAGTACCGCTGAAGGTAGGGCCAGTGACAGATGCCCCAGCTTGGTTTTCCGTGGATGGAACAATAGGCACGGGCCGACTCACCTTGAAGATGCAGAGATCGCACCGGCTGAGGCTGCAGAAGGAGTTTGTGACGTGAAATTGGTTGACAGCTGCGCGAAAGCCAGCGGCGTGAAGGTCGAGAAAAATCACATGAATCCAATGATACAGTGTCTGCGCACTCAACTCAAGGAGGTACGTGACGGTACGTGCGGCAGATACCACCCCAAGACATCATGGAAACTGGCGCCCGCCTATGAACGATGCGGCGTTGCGCGGCAGGGACAGGCAAAGTGTGTTCGATTGACTGTGCAATGGTCCGGCAGCAAACCATGACTTGCCCCCCAAGGACCCGAGCCCGAACAGCGTAATGCGACGGATGGCGTCCGTGTGTCTGCAGTCTTCGAATGGCTGCCTCACTGTTAGCTCGCGTGCGCGGGCAAGGCAGGGAGAAAACACAGGGCGCCTGGCCATCATGAAGGGCCAGCTCTGAATGCAAATAAGGCGTGTAATCCGTGTAATAAATCGGCACGTGCTGACCCCCTACCCACAACAGTTCGCTCTCACGAACTTGATGGGCCTCCACAGTACGCAAGAAGGCGGCCCGCAGATGAGCCCGGTCTCGAGCCTAGCGGCCTTGTGCCGCATGCATCCCACTCGGAGTTCTTCACGTCTTCACACTCACAGCTCGCCAAGTCCGCTGGTGCTATGGGTTCGGCGGCAGCTCTGGTGCAAGGAGCGCAAGTAACACGCATACCACCTTCTGTCCATTGCAAACGGTCATGTGGATGCGGTCCTTCTGGGGCCAGCCGGCGTGGCAGCTCGCTTGGGAGCACGTCCAGAATTCGCCTTCTGCTTGGCTACCTTCTGTCCGTGCAAGCCAGACATCCCGATAGAAGCGCTGCCTCAGGTGACCCAGATTATCGCCGCTCCTTTTGGGGGTCATCGCTTGTGCAGCCGTGCCAAGCGACCCAGACGTGCCCGAGCGTGCGACTGAACCTGCAGGGTGGCCAAGCTGCAGTTGATCTCGCGTTCTCCAAGTCTGCAATACGCTCTCGCAAACGTTTGAAGCTGCGTGTGCGGAGGTGCGCATGTGCCGGGCAGTGCGACAATTTGTGCTCAGTGGTCTCACTCGGACAGGTGCGCCCATCCATAATGCGTCGCGGTGGTACATCGCGTTTGGAAACCCACGCCCTCGTCCTCAAACCTCTGCAGAGAGTGCGCTCCAAAACCCCAGCTTAATTCATGAGGCGGAAGTCGCCGCAACAAGCGAACATTTGCATCCAGCTGTATAGCTGCGTCTGAATGTCAAAAAAAATTCTGCTTACGGGCAACTGTGTCTACTGGGGACATGTTTAAGTCTAAGTGCACGCAAACGAACAGCATGCCTTAGATCATTGGGCCACTCCTCTCTGTCAGCGGGAGGCAACATATAGTCGTGGATCATGCGAACACATGCAAACGTGGTCGCTCCCAGCCAAGGCTCCAGAGCACCTCATACAGGGCAGCGGTTGGTCCAAGAAAGGTACTCTGAAGGAAAAACGCCTCCGCCGAGTCCCTGCGCGCAAGGCCCGCGTGCGTGGGCAGCAAGCTGTCTGTGAAGACCCGGCAACTTGTGCATCAGCGTGCCTTCGCGGTTCCTGCCCAGGAAGAAAGCCTAATTTGCGACCAGTGTGGCAACAATGTACGGCGCCGGGTCAACACGGTGCACATGGCAAAATGCCGGCTCTCAGGGCCTGCCGCACTGCGTATCTCAAAGTAGACAAAGTCCATGGCACATAGGGTCTCGTGACCATACAGTACGGGCAGCGCCGCGGTGGAAACCAGTGTTTCCCTGTCATGTTTGCTGCCAGGCACGCAGGCCACGCAGAGCAAACGTTGGAATCGTTTGGACTCCGAAGTGGCAAGTTCGGCATCCACATGAAAATTGTTGCCCAGGAGGAAGATCCCTACACATGCAGCAAGTAATGTTCGGCCAGTGTACAGCATAATTGTTCCAAAGACGAAGGTCGGAGCTTGTGAGAAGGGTGGCGCTGGAACGTAGCTGGATGGAGACCAGTGCAGCGCCTGAAGTGATCTCACCGGGCTCAACGGTATGATGACTGAGCCATCTCAGTGAACATGGGCCAGTCGGGGGCGCCGGGTCGCAAGCTCAACCTGGCCACGCGTCTTACAGTGACGTCAGAGGGTGAGTTCCAGTTTGGGCACCATCCTGTAGGACCTGGCAACCTAGTGACCGTCATGTTGGAAGTGCAGATGGAACAGGCGGGTCAAGGTGGTCAGAGCTCAAGGATTGTCAAGGGCGTCATCTCGGAAAAGAATAATTTTGCTGATGTTGCGCAGTTTTCGTTGTCAGCTGAGGGTGCACGCCTTTAGCCTCTGCATTTGACAAGTTATTAGGCCACCCGTGCTCTTAGCGCAGCGGGCATGGTTTGCGAGAACTGGAAGGTTTGGCACTGGCCTTTTTCTCAGACCACCCATGTTCTCTGAGCAGTGGACATGGCTTGCGGAGCTGAGTGTGGTAACCGTTGCATGACACGGATTGTGTTATCCTGTCAGCTCCTGGCCACCTACTGGGCACAAGGTTGCCCCGCAGCCTGTGCCTGTTGAGTCTTTGCCTCTGACAGACTGTCAGAGTCTTGGATCTTGCCGTTGCCAAGCTATCAGACAGCGCATGTTCTCCGAGCAGCTGACCTGGATTGTGAACATCGGAGTGTTTACTATGCCGGTGTTGCTGAGCTGTCCTATTCACTGGCGCTGGTCATGCCAGCTCCTGGCGCAGTCTGGCCACGCACTGTGCGTACTAGCAGGCTACTGCGTGGATGTGTGGCGACAATATATAATATGTATTGTGAGCAACGTGGAAGCTCTTCTTGCGCTGCGGAATGCGTTCGGTCTGAGTGTGGACTTATGCTCCTAGGGCGTCGCGCCAGGTTCGGACCCACAATCAGCAACATAATTTGTGCAGATGCGACATCGTTGCTGCATTGCTGATGCTGGCTCTTTGCGGACGTCATTGCTGATTCTGGCCAGGGCCGTGCCTAGAGGGGCTGACTGCACAGCCACGAAAGTTGTTTGCTGCGTGAGTTAGTATTGCGTAGGAAGTTGGGTGATGGGTGAGCCTTTCTCCACTCATTGTCTCCCGGGCATTCACTTGGGTTCACTGGTTTTGTGGTCAGGGTTTTTGGATGAAAGTTTGGACGTTGCAATGCGGTGAATGGATCGTGCCAGTGTCTCCGGACAGTCGCAAGACGCTTTTCCTAGTCCGGTGTGATGGACTCCCGGTGTTGAACCTTGCAATGCCTTTCAAGCGGCAAAATGTGGATTCCTGAAGGCCGGGCGGCTGCAAGGAAAACCTCCATCCTCCTCGTCGCGCAAGCTTTACTAGTGTGACTCAGGCTCAGACTTCGGTCTGGCGTCCTCTGTTTTATGGATGTGGCGGATCTCGGACAAAAAACATGCAACGGCTTCATCTGAATCACCCGCACAGACCCAGAAGGCATGTGGGGCAAGGACCCCAAAGATTGGCAAAGCAGCAGGTGAAGTGAGACTTGGAAAAAGAGCATGGCAAACCAGGGACTGGTCGACGCAGGAGTGGTTGAGCCCGTAAAGAGATATTACCAGTGGGAAGAAGAAGGCCGGCGCCAACGCCAGCCCAGCAGTAGTTCTTACGATGAAAGAAGGGATGTTAACCGCCTAACTTACGTATGGAGAACGTGGACTGACAGAGACAAGAGCACTGATCGCACTGAATCACGGGAGCCCAAGTTGGGAACCGGCGCGGCTGGGGGCCGAATCTTGGAGAAGGACAACAGAGTTGAGCAAGCGAGTCGCAGCCACATACAAGGCCAGCCTGGAAGAGGTGGGTTTTTTTTCGGGATGAGAGGGAGGAGAGCCAAGCAGGTGAGGAAGAAAAGGAAGAGTGGGTAGAGGACCACGCCAGGAGGAAGGTGATGAGCAATACAGATGCAAGCAGCGCAAGAGAGTACAGAAAACCGGATGGAAGGAAGAGGAGGAAGTGGGATTGATGCAGAGGTTCAGGGCAAAGAGGCCGAAAGGATCCCGCAAGGGAAAGTCCAGAGGGAAGGGGCAAAGCAGCAAAGGAAGGGAGGCCAAGAGGAAGACCGCATTGATGAGAGCACGCTGCAAGAGAGGAAGAGAGATAGAGAGAGCCCGTGAAGATGACACGGATGAAGGAAGGGAAGCAGCAAATGATGAAGAGAAGGTCATATGCAAACGCAGGGCAAGAGAATATGAACAACTTGCTCAAATGGTGTTGGAATCGCAAGAGGATCAAACGGCTATGGAGCCATCCTTGGCTTTGCTGGCTGCACTAGGAATCTCGCGCCCGGATTTTGCAACAAACGTTTTGGACAAGGAGGGAGCATTGCATTTTCATGTCATCTGGCTGGCCGTGATGGGATCGATCATGGCACCCCGCCAGAGCCCTGCACAAAGCGGCAAAGGCTGTTTTACAGGTCAGCGGGGGCAGAACATATGACCCCGCGCAAAAAGGTGAAAGACCAGAGTGTGGTACAGGCTTTGCAATGGTTGGCGGACACATCGGATGCTGGTCTCGTGGAACACATCCTCTGATGATCAGGAAGGCGATTGGGGAGCTTCACGTTGACGGACTTGGCTGCACGCTCCGGATGGGCCGCAATGGAACACGTGCTCAAGCCAGCCAGGGGGCTGCAACTCAAATTGAGGCATGCCTTCCAATGCAGTGTGGAGTCCACGAAGCCTCCCACCACATAACCAATTCAGGTGCTGGACGAAGATCCCGCTACTCCAAATCAAGGGGAAATTGTTCCAAACTACAGTCGGGGATATGCCGCAAGCTCGTTTGGAAGAATTGGGAGTCCGGATAGCCACGTTCTGGTCACTGATGGAGTCATCACTTTCCCAGTTGATGAGCTCCGACGGGAATATGCAATCATACGTTTCCTCAACAAGGAGAACTTTGAGAAGAACATCGGACATGCGCATGAGATGCCAACTTGTCGGTAGACCTGTAGAAAAGAAGCCAGGCTAAGAACGACGGAGCTTGTGGTTGGCCATATCGCAATCCCTTACCAATCGCAACTTGGCCCGAATGGCTGAAAACATCAAGAGGCTGATAATAGAAACCGCGGGCGTGCAAATCAAGCAACGGAATTGGACTGGAATGGGCGGAGTGAAAATGGCCACTTCAGTAGCATCACAGTGCCGGAAGGCGCGGACCATCAACCTCGTCACCATGGCGAAAGCCTTCAGGACCAGCCCGGACTACTTTGGGGCTGCTTGGGCGCCCTTGAAGGGCACCCTGGCTTGAGATGCAGTCGACCTCTCCCGTCCTCTCTCCCAATGTTTCGGGGAATTGGAAACGTTAGAACAAGCAGCCAATCCATTGTCGACACTGCTGTGGAACATAAAAGGGGACGAGCATCGCCCACTTGCGTGACTTCAAAATTGCCCCAGCAGCATTTAATAACACTGAGATTGCCTTTCTTCAGGCCATCAACTACCCGCCAGACGGCGCGAAGGGAACCACCACAAGGGCAAACCAAAATGGAGAAAGATCATGCGACCAGAGCGTTTGAAAGCAATGAATGTGAGCCATTCGCTTTTTGATGGTTTTGACGCTTTGGTGGAGCCGCGGAGACCCGGCACAATTTTCAGCATTCACCCTAACGACTCTTGGGCACTCTTTGTAGGTCTTGTTGTTGCCCGCTCAATTTGAAATCAGGCCCACCAAAAAACGGGACACCCGCCTCCCCCTATCAACCTTGCAAAGCAAGGCGAAAGAGAGAGTGTGGTAGAAGACAAATAAGAAGACGAGGAGAGCAACACCAGTGCTCTGCTAATGAGCACATCCATTGCTCCAGGTTCCGAAGTGCTTACAGTGGACTTGGGAAACGCTTCTGTGTGCAGCATTCACTGCGCAGGCGTTCCACCGCTTGGAGGCTTTAAGCGAAGTCATCAAGTCCACCATGAAGAAGCTCAGCCGAGAGGTGGTGCTCTGCACGAGAATTGGGCTGCTGTGTAGACTGATGCGACCAAGCTTGCATGCAAGCTATAGGTACAAATAGTGACTAATCCACTACCAGGCGGCGCCTGGAGCCATAGCTGCAGCTAACACTTGGGCCCTTTGGAGGTGGCAGATGGTGACATTGATGCCTTGGGCCACGTGATGCGCACGCTGCGAGAGGCCTGAGCCCCAGCTTGCAGCCTGTAAAGCCCTGTAAGCTGGCATTCATTTGGCTTTCCATTTAGGTGAGGGAAAAGCAAGGGGAGATCGAACTGGCACCCTGGCATGCTATGACATGTCGTGTCTGATTGGATGAGTCTGGACAACCAGTCAGCTCTTGACAATCGTTCAGCTAAGGAGCTGGAACCGGTGGCCCAAATGTATGTGCGAGCCTTGAAGAAGATTGAACACTGTTTAATATGCTTTTGCCAAGCGGTTTTTGTCGCATCTCGAGGCCATGCTGGACTCTTACCTTCCGAACATTCTTGACAAAGAGGCAAGTCTTTCGTCACAACTCGGCTTCTCAGTTTCATGGGTTGTGCAAGGAGCAAGACGCGCGGAGCATGCTACAGTCAAGCCACGTTCCTGGTAGTGCCTGCGGGCCGCATCCTGCAGCTATACTGGAGTACGGACACTGCAAGTTCAGAGCCACTGCAGCTCCTGGCTTTGTCTTGGACGTTTGCGTCGGAGCATGTGTATGCTGAACTCTGGCCCGAGCTTTGACGTCATCATTCCCTTGGCAATCATTTGAAGCCATGGTGCCAGCTTCGAGACGATACGGGCGCTGTGCACTGCTAGTGCTCCTGGCAGTGTCACTTCACAAGGCTGGAGCCATGCGCAGCCTCCTACATTCATGGATGGCAATGCTTGCTCACATGCAATGTCCGGAAGTCAATCAGATTAGATCCGCAGCCGGCGAAAGTGGATATTTCACTTTTGTTTTCTTTGAGCATTGAATGTGGACCCTGTTGAACCCAAGGTTTAGTGTGCAAATGCGGTTGCAAGTTGATGTGCAAATGCGGCTGCAGGTTGCTTATGCTGACCAGTTGATAGGTTGCCAGGTGTCGTGTGTACTGGAGATGCAGACAGCTTCATGAGAATCAAATTCCATGAATGATTTTTTCGTGCCTCACGCAGTGGTTTAGAATCCTTGGTCCAGCATGCTGTTCTAGGCAAGCGCCTTTTCTGGAGGTTCTTGGTGTAACGCATTCATAGCCTGTTACACCCAGACCCTGAAAACCACGACCGAACCACACAGAACTGTGCGTGATGGTGCCAAGTTCGAAAACTGAGATCCCCTGTGGATTATGGATTTGAGAAAATGGCGCAGAGGGCTGGACCGGGGTTTTCATCTGAATCTGGAGAAATAAGTTGCCCAGTATTATCCTCGCCTCATTCTTCTCAACTTTTGTCTCTACAGCTCCATAGGCGTTCAACGGAACTGTTCAAATTCTCGGCTACGCGCATTTTCGCCCAAGGCCCAGAATTTGGTCTACTGCTGCCATGACAAGACCTGTGTGTTAACACGTTGCTAGCTTTTACTTTGACACGCTACCTGATGCAAGTCTTCCTTGCCAGCTGTAACGTCTGACCGACATCCATGCATACAGCTTACTTTCGTCGCAAGTCAATCCCTGCAGCTGTATGTTGTCGTCCCAGCCCTTGCAATTGGTCACCATCGATCCGTTATCAGCTTTCCAGCAACCAAGGCCCTTTTCATGGACAGCTTCAGTTTGCTAAGGTCTGAGAAAGACAGTCGAGCAGACATGATTTTATGCGACCCCTGTGGGTGGTAAGGTGCATTTTGCGGATTCCTTCCTTTGTGATACCCAAACGGGCCGGCGTACATGGGTCCTGACGGGAACTGCCTTCAGAAGCTCCACGCGGTCCACGCGGCATCCTGCAGCATCCGTGTTTGTGCTTCCTGACACAACCCCGTTCTTGGGGTCAAAGCCAGGATGCCGACTTAGTGCCCGCAATTTGGTGAACGTACATTTGCAGTGTGAACATGTTTTAAAACGGGAGAAGAGTAGGCACCATGGACATTTCTCTACCATGAATTCACAGTACGCGAAGCTCTCGGTCTAATCAGGATTGCTTTGTCATGATCCCACCACTGCAGACTGGTTGAAGTTACGGTTGGGCTCGTTTCGGTTCATCGGTTTGACTCTTACTACTTACCACGGCCGATTCGATGGGTGCTCCTTGGTTTGGGGTCCTGCCTGCGGCGTGAGCGGCGCCGTGTTGCCAGGCAACAGACGGGGCGCTTCGCACTTTTTTTACCTTCCGCACCCCCACGAACAACATCGTCCAAAATCCACGGTTTTCGTCTAGCGCGCCTTGTTTTCCAGCACGGGAGGCATACTAACAGTGCATGTGAGGTAGGTGTAGGCATAGAGTTAGCTTGGCGTGTGAATGGGCAGATGTGCTAGAAAGCCTGTGCGATGATAGCTTCTGCTCTTTGGCTGGGAGTTTGCCTTGGAGAACGCCCACTCCAAGTCTAGCATGTGTAACAAGCGACCATCGACCATCGAGGATTCCGAAATCTGAACATTCGCAGCGCAGCGCACGGAAGCAGGGAAGCATCAGTGGAAACTTGGCCAGCTGAAGGCTATAGGGTGGTTCTCAGCAACGCCCAACACTGAAATGCAACAGCTCCAGTCCGAGCTATCAACAAGAAACTTGACCTCTTTGGATACGTTTGTGAGCTTCAGAGGTCCGAGGCACGGCATAAATCCCCATGCCCTTCATAGTTCCCTGAATGTACAGTGATTTGAAGGTAGAACTTGTCCCGGTCATGCGGAAACTTGAAAAGAGCCATACTGAAACACACAAGTAGTTTGAAGTGTTCTTCTACAAGAGCGGTGGGGAGACGCGCACGCTTGGGACATCCTACAGACATATATACGTGGAAGCCATTTTGCTCTGTGGGAAGGAGTCCATGAGAGCCAGCAGCCTTTTTTCCCATGATCACTGCCTGGGCTGAGGCACAAGCCGCCCGTGTGCCATCACATGCGGGTTTCGAATGTGCTTAGCTCACAGACACATGCTTGCCGCTAGAAAACCTGAGCTAGAAGCTTCTGCGCAGGAGGCGTGTGCGTGGGCGGGGAAACGTGAATTAAACTTGCTGGGGCCAATAGCTTACAACCCAAGCCAAGGCCTACCAAGGAAGCCAATCAGCAAAGACCAAAAACAGACGGGCGAAGTCAAGATATTACCAAAACCAGAATCAGATTACATTGATTTGCCTTCCGTGCTTCAGGCCTTTGTGGTGCCGAAGGATGGAGACATCTCCCGAGCCGAGGCCTTGCGCTTCTTGCCAGTTCTGGCGGTGAGTGGCTTTGCAGCTCCAAGCCACGCAGAGAAAGGAACGACGACCGCCTGGAAAACGACTCCGGCAGGAGATGACGATGACATCCACACGGGTGGGGTCGAGTGGGAAGATGAGAAGGTTGGCACTGGTGCAACGCCCCAGATTGGCGACCAGATTGGCATACAGTATCAGATCAAAGCATTCGTTCGCGAGAGGGAGATCATTGTGGAAGACACCAAGGGCAAGGCAAGGGATTTCAGGTTTGGAGTAGGGCAGATGCTGCCGGGCATGGATGAGGGCATTCGCGGCATGAAGACAGGAGGTGTTCGAAAGATGCGGATTCCCGGAAACCTGGCCTTCGGAGACAAAGGTTTGCCCTCGGCTCCGGGGCGGCCGGCCTTGCCACCATACTCACCCGTGGAAGCCACAGTGACCCTAGACTTTATCCCGGGCTCCGATGCTGTCTACGACTATGGTGAGTCAGATGCCTGAGGCCACTGAGGCCACTAGATGACTTGAGCTGTGAAGAAATAAATTCTTTCCAGACTTTGCTGCGCGAAGCGGCTCATGCCGGAAACGGCGCGGCGTAAAACAGCTGCTAGATGCACTCATCCCCTCATCCAGCACAGTCCGCACGACATGTCAGCACAGGCTGGACGAGGCTTCTTGCGGAGAGCGAGACGCGGCACTTGGACAGACACAGCATCCATGCTGTGTGAAGTCTGAAGTGCTGCAAGCAACAAGGAAGGGAAGCCCCAGACTGGACTTTGTTTAGCTGTGCTTCAGGAGCTTACGGTCAAACAGGTCCAGTCACAAGCTGAGAGATTTGCTCGAGTCATGTTGCCTGCTGGTGCCTGTGCAGTCTGCACCGCAAGCTATGGCAAAGCAAGCGCCAGAAGCCGCTGACTGGTTGGCAATCAGTTGCCGCAGCTTTTGGTTCTGACAGGTAGGTATGTTGAACCAGTAATGCGGTTTCACGGCAATCCATGTCCGTGCCCGGTGTGGGTGGGGCTCCGCGAGTAGTAAGCTTTCAGCAGCAGCTGCCTGTACAGCAAGCGCCCGTCGCCAAAGAACCAGTCCACATCCTGCCGGGTGCACAGAGAGCTCTCCAGAGCCCATGTCAAGCATGTCAAGCATGTCAAGCGCATCAAGCACAGGCAATTCAGGCCTTCGAGGCCAGGCGGCTGGTTGCACGCGTTGGGGAGGCTTCAGCGCCTGTGAGCAAGTCGGCTGCCCGTACATTACGCTTCGCTGATGAAGCTCCCAGCGGTCCTACCCATTTACAGGCACAAAGCCTTCCTGAAAACGGCTTACCGCAGGACCGAGCAGCTCCAAAGTCTGTGCTCAGGCGATCGCATCAAGCGGGCCGATCTGCTTGCGAAGCTGGCGAAGCTCCTATCACCGCGACCGCGCCGAGTGCACCAAGCGCTGGTGCCTCGAGCACTTGCACAGCGCTGGCTTGCAGGAGTGGAGTTCGTAGGGGCTCCGATGCAGCCGGCAACCTTCCCAAGCAAAATGGGACACCCGCCCCCGCCTCACAAAGGCGGCGACCACTGCCTGAGCCAGAGCTATTGGTCGTGAAGTTCCTGTACCTGTCACGGCTACCGATCGGAAGTTGGATGCAGAACCCCGCCCAGTACCAACTGAGCCTTCATGTCGGCGAGGATGCCCGCAGCGACCCTCCTCATCGACCAGGTCCGTTCTCTACCCCTTTCGTGCGCCGACCTCAGTTGAAGGGGCATGCAGCACGCATTTTGGTGGAGACTGTATTGAGTGTGCCCTTACAACCAGCATAACCAGCTCAGCTTCAGGCAGGCCGGGCCGCCACAGGCTGTGCCACCAGAGGAGGCGCAGCTGAAGCAAAAGATTGCAGCAGCCGTCGAAGCAATGGAAGCAGGCCATGGCCAGGCAGGCAGAGCTGGGCCAAGCACAGAATGCCGGTTCAAGACTCGCGTTTCAGTGCGACTTAGCGAAGCAGGGCCTGGGCCAGCGGCGGGAGGTCCAGTATACTTCCGCGTAGATGCTTGGTCGCTGAACCCCGGCCTGTTTGGGAGGCCGTCTCAGCCAGAGCTTTTTGGGCGTGCCTTCGTGCCCATCAACGACAGCAAGTATCACAGACGTGCCTGTACCTGGCCGATGATCGACGCCGGCGGCAGTGATGTGGCCTATGTCACCTGCGAGTTTTCGTTTGCCAGAATTCCTGCTCCGATCCACGATCTGCATGTAGATAGCATGGTGGCGAACGACGTCAAGCTGGCGTGGTCGCCGCCAGCTGTTGAAGATCGCGTCGTCCCACTGAAGGGCTATCGTGTAGACTCTCGACTTCTGGGCCGTAGCAACCGCCCTGGGTCCAGCAGCGGCTGGGTGCATGCTGGAGATGTGCAAGCTCGCGAGTGCAGCTTTGAGGCTTTGGGCTTGAAGCCGGACAGTCTCTACGTCTTCCGCGTGTGTGCAGTTAATGAGGTTGGCCTAAGCGAGCCAGAAGAGCTGGAGGTGCAAACAGGTCCCTGTGCACCTGCTGGTTGTGGACAGCCGCGATTGGCTGGTTGCAGTGGACCTGTTTTAGCTGTGGAGTGGGACCCCCCAATGTACGATGGCGGTGCCAACTTAGTTGCCTACCGTCTTTGGGTTAGACCTTTCTCTGCCACTGACGCAGCTCCAGAGGAGTGGTTGGAAATAGGACACGTAAAGCACAGCGCCGGCAGCGTGCAGCGTGCGGAGATTCACACAGAGGAGTTTGACCAGAGGATCGGCCGTGGCTCGTCCAGAGTTCATTTCCCAGGTAGAGTACCTACTCGTATACACTCTTATCAACCAGAACACAGTGCCAAGCCACTATGACTTATGAGCTGATCAACCTTTTCTTTCCGCAAGGATATCTATGCCGTGTTGCAGCCATCAACGCTGCCGGCGAGGTTGGACCGGCCACTCCTGATGCTGTCTCGCTGACCCTCCCGCTTCTTGACAAAGCAGTGCTAGAATCTGATTTTCGTGCTGGCTTGGTTGACAGAATCGCCTGAAGAGCTCTGACTTGCTAATGCAATCTCAGGAACCCGTGCGCTGTCTCTCGTCCGACGCCTGCTGCAACACTGCCACTGGCTCTATCAGATCGACAAGGCAGGAAGCATCTTTGCACTTATCCGCTTGCTTCGTTGTGCACGCTCCTTTTGATGCACTTCATGCACAAGGCTGCCCCCACCATGAAAGCTCACCATGGGCATTTTGTAACGGCAAATGCGTGCTAAACGCGAGGGCGTGACAAAGGTCCCTTTGGTGCTGACATGTGGAGCAGCACCACGGGGAACAGTCTTCTGACAATGACCATCAATGAGCAGCCAAGCTGAACTTGGGTGATCTGACTTCAGCTTGATCTGTTTTTAGCCGCCTCTCATTTCTTGAGGCCTGGAAAGAGAAAAGTCACAGTTCCGCTGTTCCAGGACTGAAGCGGCCAGAGCAGCAGTGAAGCAATGTGAAGTATCCTATTGCTAGAAGCCTTTGCCGCGCAAACGCAGTATACGGTTTGTAGGATGGCGTCTCTTCAATGGACGTCCCACTGGGCTTTTTTGGTGGACATGATGGAGCCAGGCAAAGCTCACTCACTTCTGTGCCTAGCCTGCAAGCATCTGCAAGCATTTGCAAACAAAGCTGCGAAAGCTGTGGATCATCTATCAGATCCATCGACTGAGCCTATAGTGCCCTCGGAAGGGCGTTCGCTTTTTACCCGTCTTCTGTCCTGTTCGCGATTTGTCTGACGTGGGGCTCCGGCTTTACAAGCACTAAACCGTGAACAATCCCATGCACTAATGTTCAGACCATCAACAAGCTCAAACTCCAAACCCTCAACAAGTCCACACACAAAACCCTACACAACCCCGAATGCCTACAAAACTTTTACCCGTGTGATCCCGTTGTTGCGTCCGAGCCCCGGCGCTATGGTGGTGTGGCAATAGATTCTGTGCCTCGTTCATGTTGTTGCCACTGTCAGCTGCAAACGCGGAATGGAGGCGGAGCGGTTACGGCTTGAAGTATCTTGGTAGCCTGGGTTGCAACGTCTTGCCAAGCGAATTTGGAATTACTTGAACTCAGTAATCATTATTCATAATTGCCAAGTGCCTGCATTTGGGATGGGCCTGGCCGACCCATGCGGAGCAGGGCGGCCAGGGACAGTCGTGACAGCAGCAGGCATTGACTATGATTGGAGATGATTGGAGCTACGCAAAGCCCGATGGACGTATCATGTCAATGTTTTGGTATGACAAACATGGCCAAGCCATCCTGCTCTATGCTAACCTCTACCTGCAGACCTTCTGAAACCTGTTGCAGCAAGCAAAATTAGGCACAGCCTGCCGGTCGCTACAGCGACGACACCTCAATCTGCCGCTGTCTATATACGGCTCATTGCGTGCGGTCGACTGAGCAGGAGGAGTGATGGAAGCTGTGCAATCAAACACACCCTCTTGGGTGGTTTTGGCCCTCGCTCCCGCAGAGCTTGCGTGGGCAGGGGTTCATGCCAAACGCGGTATCTGGCGACCAACTTTTGCTGGACCTTCCAGGATTCCAACAACGACCATCAATGGTAGTAAGCAATGCAACCTGATCTTTGTGACGCCATTCCTCCGCCAGCTGGGCGGCAATATCTCCCACAACATCCCATGCTGCCGCAGCTCTTCAGGGTGTTCTGGTTGCTGGTTGGAACGTATCCAAGCAGCACGAAAGGCAGGCTTCACCTGTAACCGTGTGGACGGGTTGGCCAAACGAAGACTCATAGGTTTGCTTGCGAACTTTCCTCGAGCGGACGCTCAGAACTGTGAATCGTTGCAAAATTCAACAGCACCCGTGGCGTGCTGGAACCACATCTTAATGGCGTGAGCTTCGGCACGTGGCCGTCAATTCTCAGCCTGGCAAGGTCCCCCCCCAAAGTGGCCTGAACATCAAACGGCGCCACGCGGCGAATGGCCACAATGCTCCAAGCACACAACCTGAGGTGCGGCTCGCTGGAGAGCGGGCCACCAGACCCATTAGCACCGAATTAAAACTGCGAAGCATCCAAGCTCTGAAAAGATAGCGAGAGGCCGTAGAATTGCTGTAGGATTCATGCACGTAAGCCTCTTGCAGGCAAGGCAGTCAAGGAGGCTGGCACCAAACCTCGCAGTCACAGTGCAAACCCTTTTCATCCGGGGACATTTCCCATACTTCAGGAACGGGGCCAAGCCGCGCAGACAAAGCAGGGCAGCTCCACAACTTGTGCTTCAAACTGGCATCCAAGCTTCCGCAAGCGGAACACGCCTCCTCAATACCATCATGGCTAGTTCCCAAAATTGAATTTGAGGAAGGTTAGGGAAGGAACGGACGGGGAACGAACATTGAAGGCTTGAGAAAGGGCTTGAAGGAGGCTTGAGAAGGGGGAGCGCGGAATGCCAGACGATAGCAGCATTTGAATCCCTCCATCCATCCAACAAGCCAAGAATTCCCAAAATGGAGAAGCAAAGGCAAGGAAAAGAAATGACAGGTCACTGACGTTGCATGTGGAGACGCCTCATGCAGAGAGAGTCACGGCCCAACTTGCAACCTAATGCCTCTGAGTTCTTCTCTTACCGGCAGTCGCGATCCGTGGATCTCCTGCGTACAGCTGGCACCTGGATGGCTGACAGAGTTTCATTCCCTCTCCCGGACAGTTTGCCCTCTGTATGGTAATGAGACCCTTCCCCGAGTGGCTCCATCTAAGGCATACACCACTCCTTGAGCACCCTAACCTAGACATGGTGTCCACCGGCAGGCTTGCCGGTCCGTCCACCGAGTCGGAGTTTCCATGGTGCGCGGACTAGGATGGCCCATTGAGCTAACCAGTGATGGGCTTGAAGGAGACTTCAAGCGGGCTTCAAAAAGGTCTTGAAGGGGGACTTCATGCAGCGCATTGTGTTCATGAACCCGGTTCTTATTTTAAAGGTAACTCAAGTGCTTCTTATGCGCGACGGTGAAATCAACACCACAATCCAAGTCAATGGCTCCTTGATGTCTGACAGCCTCGCGCCAAAGACTCCGCTCACAGCACTCCAGTCTGTCAAGACAAGGCCCAAGCGTGGTAAAACGCATGGAAAACCACACGCAGCCATTGGGCCTCCGGCATAGCACCAATACACAGGGCATTAACGTTGAATCTTGACAGCTTGGATTTTCCAAGCCCAGCCAACCAGATGCAATGTACGGCCAGCAAGAGACAGCTTAACGCACTGGAAGAATGAACTGAGGGTCAGCCTCTTTGGTCACAAGCAGACGGTAGCCGTTTATAAGCAGTTTTTCTCCAAACTTGCCCATAGGCGCTGGCAGCAAAAGGTCCACGAAGCCTTCCGGACGCCACTCATGTAGGCCTGAGAGGCCGCGCGAGTCAGCATGGGGGAATTGCGATTGCGTCCAGGAGGGAGACACTTATGAAAAGGTGATGACAGGTAGCTCCATGACCGGGTATGGGATGTTTCCTGAAGCATGATGCGCCTGGACATTCGCTCCAGTTGCCTCACAGCAAGGCTTGGAAAGCGAGAAGGATAAAGGATACAACGTGGAGTGCAGCATGTGCTGCAAGTGCGTGAGTTCAAACTCAAATAGGTCAAATATAACCAAGAACCTTTACGTTTCAGTTGGTGCTGTAACGTTTCATCCCTACTTGCAGCGTACCAAGGAGCAAGCCTCTGCGAACGGAGCAGGCCATGATCTGGCACTACCTGAACATTTAGACGTGACTGGGCCTGTTCTTGTTTGGGCTCTGAGCGCTTGGATGTTCGTTTGGGTTGTGCTGGGTGATGGGCATCAGACTGCCCACCAAATTTGCAAAGCTTGAGAGAGTAGCTTACGACAGTTCAGAGTTTCATCAAGTTTTCGAATCAGCCAGGGTTACCAAGGCATGTTCAGCTTGGCCTTCTGACCTGGAAAGACGTTGGTATCATGAGGAGGCCTTTGGCCCTGACCTGGGCTTCCAGGACAGCCAAGAGTTGTAGAGCTGGTAGCACTGTTCACAACAAGCTCCAGCTGGGGTGGGCTTGTGCATCTGCAGCCATGAAGGACCCCCTCTCGCAGCGTGCTGTAGTGCCTTACAAGGCAGGAGCAGCAAGCGCTGCTTAGCTTTGTTTGTTCTGTTGGATTGAAGAGACATTTGAGTCTTGTGATGAGCAGTGAGCAGTTGATCCTTTCCTTCCTACATTTCAGTTGACAGGCTGCACCTTTGCAGAACAACGAAGTGCTCGACCAGGAGTGCTATAGAACTTGGATCCAGTACCTCGTGTCCATGTCCTAAGTTAAGCCATAATATATTGCCGCCTCAATTCAGAACCAGTTATGTTATGATGTGTGCCTTTGACCTGCAAGCCCGGAGGAGGTTTTGCAAAGCGTGCTGGAGGAAAAGAGGGCCTTGCTTGATGCCAGCCTGCTCCTTTGCAGCAATTTTTTGGGGGACAAGATTAGGGTTTTTGCCTTCAGAGCAGTGCTGCCTGGGCGCATTTGTTGAGGCAGAACTTCCAGCAGCTGACCGACCAGCTGAGCCGAAGCCCCGAAAACGAGGCACTACGCCAGCGGCAAGAAGAAGCTGAGACGCTCAACTGCAAGCGTGTGCAAGGTATGTGTATCTACCTTCGTATCATGTTTCGAGCGTTGGTACGGTGACATGTCTGAGGATTCAGGCTGCTGGCCTCCAAGCGGAGGTAGCTGATGCTTGTCTGCACATGGTGTGTCACACGCTGACGGGCGCAGAGGCTTGTTCAGAGTCGTTGACTGACGTGATCTGAAGTGTAAGACTTGAGGTGGTGTCTCAAAAGCTACGCGAGCAGCGTGAGGTAATGACAGAGGCTGCTCTGAATTTGCTACAGAACAGGACCTCTTGACAGTTGTTGTAGTGAATGGATAGGCTCTAGGTGGCAGGCAAGCTAACAAAGGTAAACAAAGGTTGCAAGCTTTGGGATCGCGCTGATGGAGGAATTAAGCGGCACTGGCTTCTCGTGGATTGACCGCAAAACGCACATTCGCCAGTTGCCAGGTGCTGCCGTACAACACGGGCAACGATGACTTACACGAATTGCTGCACAGAGGGCCAATCCCTCCAAATGCCACGTAGAAAAAATTCTTCACCCGCTTGATCACCGAAGTGTTAGGTCAAGGCTTTTGCTCAACACATCACCCGGGCCAAGGTTCAAGCGCAACCTCATCAAGCCCAGCCCTTGTTGTGTAGGGAATGAATGCAGAGGTTGCTGACTTTGTAGGCTGTGTTGCTGAGGACAGTCCACTCTTTCAAGCGCGATGTAGAGAAGTTCCGCCGAGATTACGAAGAGTTTGGGGCTGAGAGCAGATCCTTCTGAAAGATCGCTGGGATCATTTCAAACAAAGCTCTGCCAGCTGTACGGAGGCGTGGGCCCATGGTGAAAGGCATCCGACCTGGCCAGGCAGTGGAGCGGCTGAAGTCGCTGGCTCAGGCTCAGTGTGTTCCTTTCGCAGCAAAACTCTCCACAAGAGCTCTCCCATGGATTCCCGTGGATACTTTATGATTCTCCAATGATGCTTTCGTTTCAAGATCAAGCTTCGTTTCTCATAAAGCAATGAATCCGTGACGGTGTGTTTTTTCTTTTCAGGTTTTGTATGATTAGACTACAAATGGGAGGGGCTCTGGGGGAAGCTCCTTGACGGCATCGTTTGCGCTTCTCCTGCGGTTGTGACTGGGATACCGGCTCCGCATGGGTACCAAAGGTTCAAAAAGCTTTCAGAGCAAATAAGACACTAGCAGACCCACTTTCAAAAGCAACAGCCATGGAAGGAACACAACAACACAAAACAGGCGTTAGCAAGAAATGAAGAAGGGCTTCCAGATTGGAAAGCGATAGGATTATACAAGGAAAGGAAGGAAAGCACCAAGAAAGAAAGAATTAGAAAGGATGCAACAGACAAACAGAAAGGGAGACAGTAAACGCTAACGTAAATTCAAGAATGAAGCAACTTGCCTGAAACGCACAAATCCAGACAAAGCGGCCCAAGCAACGAAAAAGAAAGAAGTCTGTACAGAAGCCGCAGTGAATCCGTACAAACCTAGGAAGAGTGAAGGCAGAAAGTCCATAGAAACTCAGGTTGAGCTTCCCAGGCTAGCTTCTCTCACATAAGGAGCTGTAGTACTTCTTTTTTCTTGGCCCCGATTATTCGTCTTCTTGCTCTGCCTTCTGCATGGGAACCTAAATACCCGAAGCCAGATGTTCCACATCACTGGGGGGGGGTGGATCCTCCCCACCATTCCCCAATGCCAAAGCCAAAGCCAAAAAAGCCAAAGAGTGACACGAAGAAAGCACCATGAACCCAACAACCAAAGAAAGGAAGAAGCAGACAACAGATATTCCGTGATATTATTCCAAAAGTGTTCGTGAACAGCCAATGTTCTACACATGTTATGCACGCAAATTTCCACGAAACATGCACCATGGATAATTTAACGCCAAGTGTGACTCTGACCCCGCGAGCCCAGTGACTGTTGACGCTTGGCACGCCACAGAGGTAAGGCTTCCAAAGGATGACAGTAGGCGAGGACTGCGCAACGGGTTGGCACTTCTGACATGACGGCGGCGATGTGAGGGTTCAACAGCGACGACAGCGCGCCGTGATCGCCGAGCAAATTGCTTTTCGAGGCCATGTGGCGTCAAAACTGTGAACTTTGAAGTCATGTCAAGCCGCAGTCACCGAGAAGGTATCCGCTTTCGTGGTGTCAATACTGCTAGTTTCGTTGCAGGTTGCTTCCCTTTCTGGTGATTTGGTCTCCACATCTTTGCTTGGCAGACTACTAGCCTTTAGCCTACTGATTCTTTCAGAACTGAGCAATACGTTTTGCTATGTTTTACTCAGAAGGGCTTAAAAAAAGACTCTTGAAGTAGGTGTGCTGCCAAGGGGTCTGTTTTCGCAGCCTTCAACAGTTTGAAATCAAGATTCTAGGTTCGACGTTGCTTCGAGACTCAAGCAGCTTACGACCAGATTCTGCATCGTACTCACTAGAACCAGTATTAGAACTGACAGAGCCAAGCCCGCTCCCACCGCATCTTCTTTTCCGTTCCTATGCATGGCTGCACGTAGCAAGCTCTTCCGAACCTGCTTCAAAACCAAGTCAGTGAATTCCCTCCCATGCACCCCCACCCCCCGGACAAGCACTGGGCCTGACAGCATCCGGAAGAAAAAAGCATGCCTCAGTTGAAGCCGAGGCGCTGCAAAGAGGAATACGAGGCCTCGATAATGTTTACTGTAGCGGCACAGTTTTCCCGCTGTTGTCGATGAAGCTGCTGCCACGCATAAAGGTACACGGTCGCAAACGCCAGATCTTTGCCCTTGGCATCTTCCTTAGCCCGAGAAATCTTCTGGCTTGATGTACTTGAACATCCTCAAGTTGAGGTGAAGATCTATTCGGCCTTCCTCACCAAACTTATCCGCAGCTTGACCAAACGGAGAAGGAGCTACCATGTGGCATGCATTCGGTCACCCCAATTCTGCAACGTGATGGCAAGCTCTGAGCACCTTAAGTGCAAATGAAACCCGCCGTTCATGCAGATCGCACGAGTACAAAGGTCAAGCACGTATTGCTGCCATTCCGGCCCCGAGGATTTTGACCAGCATACCTTGCCTCACAAGCCCGTACTGACCTTGCATGAATGTTCAGCTACGACTGCAGGATCTATGTCAAGTAGTTAAGTAATTGCTTAGCAACAGCAACTCGGGCGGTAGTAGAATTATGGCGACCAGGAACACTGGAGCCAACGCAATGGTTGCCTTGACAAGAAATCAAACAAAGTACTCCTGTGGAAACGAAGGACAAAACGTATCATTCATACTCACCATATGTTTCCACAAATGATATGGAAGTTGGCTTTCAGTAGCTGGCTGTTAGTCCCAAGGTTGCCAAGGCTTTCAGTACAATGAAAACTGCACATATTACAAAGACCTACCAGTCGGCACTCACAGTTTTTGATGGGTATTCTCCGAAAATTCTCTACTTTGCTATGGTGTCTGCCAGCTACGTTTGAAGAATAGTTGTGATGCCCTTTTTTAGTTCAAGTGCCAAAAACCAGTTGAATCGAAATAGCAAGCCTTGCACAAGATCATTCAATAACAAACAACCTTTGTAGATGCCCCAATCGGAAACCTGGTAGAGGTCATTTCATCTCTCACCCTATTAACCTGAAACGCCCTCTTAAATGTAAGTCCCAATCAAGACCCTTGTGGAAAACCCTTTATATGAATCCGATTCAAAGAAGCCATGCTGTGCGTAGGGTTTCCATCGCTGAGTCCTGATCAGGTTTAGGACCGAGTTGTTGCTGGGGACTATTAAGGTGCCCGCTCTTCTTTCAGATTTTTCAGCTTCCAGTGATCTGCACGAGGTTTCGTGTACGGTTTGCCAGTCAGGTTACCGTGAGATGGTATGATCATATTCTCCGAAAGCGTTGCGAAAGCTGTTTCCGTGGAGGTGGGCCCGTGTCTATATAGGATGACTTGAGTAGGATGGTACAGTATGGGATGTTTGATTGATGAGCTGATGTGATGAGGAGGTTGTCCTACGCTTGTCGTGAGGTATCGGATGGGATGTGAGGCTCATTGCCTGATGTGAGGTTTTCGTGAGGTTGGCTCTAAATAGTTGCATATGTTTTAAACCAGTGCTCCGCATTCTGCTCGCCATCAAAATCTTTTTTAGTATTTGCGGCGCGTCCGGATGCCTCTCCCCATGATTCGCTCCCCCTCGAGCGTGTGCAATGTTGCGAATCGACAATCTTCTCAGTCTTCCCGACGTGTCCGGACGCTCCCGTGTGGTCTTATAGTGCCAGCGCGTCCGGACCCTCCTGCGTGGCGCGTCCTCATCTTTCTCCGATTTTGCTCGGAATCGATAACCTTCTCAGTGTTCCCCGCGTATCCGGACGCTCCCGCTTGGAGCGTCCTCAACATGTTGTCCAAAATTCGCAACTTTCCTTCTGCTCGCGTGTTCGTTACATGTCCGGACTCCGGATGCTCCCTGGTGGCGTGGCCTCAGAACCCGGCCTTCCGACATTTGCGGATCCTGAAAGCGTTGCGAAGGTTTTTTTTTCCGTCGTCCTAAGGATGGCTTAATGTTTTTGATGGGATGACGTGAGATGGATCTTGTGATGAGGTTGTTGCACAATTTGGCTGCTTAATACATGACATGTCGTGCATATATTGAGGAAGATATATGAGAGAAGTGCTACTTGTAACATGGGTGGTTGCATGTATGCATGGAGACATGAACGATGAAAGGATTTTAGCCAATGTTAGATGTCGCGGTGCTGACTACCTAACTCCAAACACTTTGGAGACACTCGTTCTCCAGTCTGATTTTTAGAAATTTCCCACCCTCAGAGTGGGGTTGTTAGATTGTAAGGAGTCTATATGTTTCCTTCGCCCTCCGCGCAGCGCCTGACTGCAGAGTATCCCTGCGGTGTCCAGCCGCAGAGTATCCCTGCAGTGCTCAGCCGCAGAGCACCCTTGCAGTGCACAACCGCAGGGTATCCTGCAATGCGCAACTGCAGGTTATCCCTGAGTGCCCAACCGCACCGTATCCTTGCAGTGCCCAATCCCAAAGTATCCCTGCAGTGCCGGGTAACTGCAGTGCCCAGGTCCACAGTATCCCTACAACTTTAAACGGGCCCAATGTAGGCCTTATAACCCCTTTAGAAGGGCCCATATAGCCCTCATAGCCCATCTTAAGCGGACTCCATGTAGGCCTTGTCACCCGAACCTATGTAGTTGGTGCTCGGTGCATATTCCAATGTGGTACAGACCCTACATGGCGGGTATGCGGGGGGTTTTCAGGAGGTGCGGTGGGAATTATGTTCGTGTTCCGAGAGCATTCGGTCACCAGTGCGTCGAGCGAAGCACGAGTCAGGAAAAAGAAAAGGCACGAATCAGGAAAAAGCAAGGCAGGAACCAGGAAAAAGACAGGCACAAGTAGGAAAAAGGGCGCGAGTCAGGAAAAACAAAAGCCACGAGTCAGGAACAAGGCCGCGAGTCAGGAAAAATGAATCGCACGGGGCAGGACAAACCTACGAGTCGGGAGAAAGAAAGGCAGGTGAGGACATGTGGTAAAACCACCCCCTTTTCCACCTTGCGAGAAGTAAAGAGAAATGACAGCTGAGCGAGGGAAGCCATGAACAAATATGCGTGAAAAAACACCTCGTAAGTAGAAGGATATGATAGAGGGAAAGCCAGGTGCAAACATACGTACGTTAAAACAACACCCTTTTGACTTTGCGACAAGTAGAAAGACGTGATAGAAGGAAAGCCAGGTACAGACATATGTTAAGATCACCCCCTTGTTATTGCCTTGCAAGAAGTGGGAAGACATGACAGAGGGAAAGCCAGGTACAGACATATGTTAAAACCATCCCTTTTCCACCGTGCGAGGAGTAAAGAGAAATCACAGCTGAGAGAGGGAAAGCCATGAACAAATATACGTGGAAGACATGACAGAGGGAAAGCCAGGTACAGACACATGTTAAAACCACCCCCTTATTCTTGTGATAAGTAGAAAGACGCGACAGAGGGAAAGCCAGGTACAGACATGTGTAAAAACCAACCCCTTATCCTTGCGAAGAGTAGGAAGACATGACAGAGGAGGTACAGACATATGTTAAAACCACACCATTTTGACCTTGCGACAAGTAGAGAGACATGACAGAGGGAACACCAAGTACAGACATGTGTGAAAACCATCCCCTTTTTCACCTTGTGATACGAAGGAAGACATGGCAGAGAGAAAGCCAGGTACAGACATACGTTAACGCCAGTCCCTTTTCACCTTGTGATACGAAGGAAGACATGACCGTTGAAAGGGAGAAAGCCAGGTACGCGCATATGTTAAAGTCATCTCCTTCATGAAAGACGAGTGAGACAGGGAAGCAAAGTACAGACATATTATGACATGTGTTAAAACCACCTTCTTTTTCCTTGCGACAAGTAGACACACATGACAGAGCAGAAGCCAGGTACAGGCATAATATGTTAGAACCACCCTCTTGTCACCTTGCGGTAAGTAGAAAGACATGACAGAAGGAAAGCCAGGGACAGCATACGCTAAAAAAACAAATGCTATCAGTCGGAAGACTTGACAGAGGGAAAGCCAGGCACAGACACATGTTGAAACCACACACTTTTTCCCGACTCACGCATTCCCTTTTTCCCAACTCACGCCGCTTTTTCCTGACTCACGGCCGTTTTTCCTGACCCAAGCCTTTTCTTTTTCCCGACTCACGCCTCAACCCATGGCAGTGCATCCATGCCCAAACCATAATTCCGTTCGTGGTCTAGTGAGTGCGATTAGGAGAGCATCCATGCCCACCATAATTCCGTTCGTGTTTTAGTAAATGCGCTTAGGAGAGCATCCATGCCCGAACCATAATTCCGTTCGTGTTTTAGTGAGTGCGATTAGCAGAGCATCCATGCCCAAACCATAATTCCATTAGTGTTCTAGTGAGTTCGATCAGGAGAGCATCTATGCCCAAAGCATAATTCCGTTGATGTTCCAAGAGCATGCGATTCCCAGTGCATTCATGCCCCAAACCATAACTCCGCACGTGTTCCAATAGCATACGATAACCAGTGAGTGCATCCATGCCCAAACTATAATTTCGTTCCTGTTCCAAGAGCATACGATAACCAGTGCATCCGTGCCCAAACCATAATTGCGTTCGTGTTCCAAGAGCATACTGTAACCAGAGAGCATCCATGCCCAAACAATAATTCCATTCGTGTTCTAGTGAGTGCGATCAGTGCCAAAACCCAAATTCGTGTTCCAAGAGCATACGATTACCAGTGCATCCATGCCCGAACCGTAATTCCGCTCGTGTTCCAAGAGCATGAGATAACCAGTGCATCCATGCCCAAACCGTAATTTCGTTCGTGTTCCAAGAGCATGCGATAACTAGTGAACTAGTGCATCCGTGCCCAGACCAGAATTCCGGTCGTGTTTAGTGATTGCGACTAGGAGAGCATCCAGGCCCAAACCATATTCCCTTCTTGTTCCAACAGCGTACGATAACTAGTGCATAACACTCTGTCCTGACGACGATGTCGTTCGCCAGGGAATGACGACGATGTCGTTCGCCAGGGAATGTCCATGGTTTCCTTAAAACACTAAAGTGGTTCGCAACGTTCCAAAATCAGGGTGCGTACTGTATTTTACAATACGAAAGTCGTTTTCTGCACCCAAAATGTTCTGAAATCGTGCATTTTCCCTGGGTATGCTGAAAATACAAGTAATTTCCAAGGGAGCAGCCTCCTGTCTGCACTTCTCTTGGACCTCGAATGGCTTTCGAACCACGGCGGAATACACACCTTGGACCTAGTTTCCATACAAAAATCTACAAAAACTTTAATTTGTATTGGCTGGGAGATTGTTCCAGTAAGATGAGCCAGAATCGGTCATCAACCCTAAGTGCCAGACAACCAC